AAACTAAAGCCTCAATCGCACTGGATTAAATTTTGGGAATATGTAACCGTCATTACGGTAAACATTTTTAGGGTAAATGTTACCGTCAATCGCACTTGGACTTTTCAACTCGGTTAGTTTTCCAGAGTAGTGTAAAATTAACTATTGAGGGCGGTACATATTGACCCGTAACATGACCCGTACTGACATGACCCACAGCCTTCTGATCCCTTGATCTGTTTCGCGCGCTGATTTGCACTTACTTTCTAGCTAGTTCTTACCGAAATCGTGCCATACTACTATTAGAAAATAATGATTTGTGATCAACTAGTTGAATAGTACGATCTTCGTACGATCAGTACAACACAGTAGTATAAAATTTGCACAAAAATCGAAATGTACACATCAATAAACCAAAACCATGAGAAGAAGCAGGTCAACTAATTATACGCATGCGCCAGTGCTTCACAGAGCGATAAAGGTCACCCAATGAACAATGAGGCTCTGGATTTGGTTAATTTAACCGACCTGTGGCTGTTCGCATTGGATTTTCCAGCCGGTCAAAATAGCTCGATAGGAATTCCTGTGTAAATTTCACTCCTGAAAACTAACCGGTGGTGACAGTCAAGTTAACCGAGCGGGACTATCCGCACTGGATTTTTTCGGTCAAACTTACCGACAAGCCAGTTACTTTTTACTGAATTAAATCCAGTGCGATTGAGGCTTATGTATTAAATCTTCAATAACAATGTTCCATCATATCTTTCTAACCGCTTTCACTTAAGAGAAAATAGTATAAGAAAGTATAATACATACTCCAAGTATTGAAATACACGCCATCGTGTTGGGATTCAATATTTCGACATTAATTATGTCATCATCAGGAATTCCTGATGATGACATAATTAATGTCGAAATATTGAATCCCAACACGATGGCGTGTATTTCAATACTTGGGGTATGTATTATACTTTCTTATCTGAGATTAATCAGTGGACCTTTCGGTTTTTTAGAAAATAGTATAATACCAGACTTGCCAATGGCATCAACTTTAACATTCCTAAAGTGAACACTAGTGCAAGAAAAGTAGCCTCTCATACCATGGTGCTATGCTTTGGAATGACCTCTCCGATGAACTTCTTCCAATCTCCATATTTTCAAGCAAAGTCTTCATAAAAATTTTTGATTTTATCCATGTCATCCCCGAAACTTAGAAATACCGGGTTGGTGTCCGGTGGGGGATAGTTTCACTGGTAGTTAAGATATTATGTTTTTGTTGTTTTCTTTAATTCATTTTGTTTTCAATACTTTTTTCTTTTCTAATTATGTATGGCCTTGCACGGCGTTGATGAAAAACACCCATGGGTGATTCAAGTGTCTCGGTGTTTAAATAAAGTATATTATTATTATTACATAAACAATCTATCGATACGACGAGAGGCTCACTCCCTCATGCTCCCACACCAACTAGCCTAGGCTATGGCCTAGGCCTACCCTACGAATTCTAATTCGTAATATCGTCCTGTATTTTTTTCTTTTTCATACCAAGACTCATAATTAAGTATGGACCACAGTCATTGTCTTCCTCATCTGTCGTTTCTTCATACTGTACGATGAGGAAGAGGTGAAATATTCTCCATACCATTCATGCTTTTTTTGTTCCTCCGCTAGACCTACCACCGCAGTATTTGTTTTGATTTTGCGCTTGGATGAATTTTGGCAAAGTTGGTCACCAATGACGTCATTGAGTGACCTCTTTGTTTCTGAGGTCTTTCAGTACGAAAATGACACTTCAAACTCATTTTTTGTACAAAATCAATTTTATTTTTGTAATATATGACCAACACAAACGTTTATAATATATTTATGTATATAAAAATGCTCATTGTCAAAATAGGTGGCAGTGGCACTTTAAATAAATCATAATGCCAAAATTGTTTTCAAATTGCATTATTAAACCACAATAATACACAGCATGTAACATTATTTTGAGTAATCAGTGATTCAATCTCATACAAATTATGAATAGTGAACCCCGGTGCCATTTCCGGGATTCTAAAGGTGCCATATTTGCTTTGTGGCTCCCAGTATAAGATAGACTATACGTCCATGTAAAATGTAGTATAGAAATAAATTTTATTTGCATTCCTTAAAATTAATTAGATACGACTTATAAAAGGCTATATATATGCTAGAGCTTATGAGGGCTTCACCTCCCGGACCCTAAACTGTAGCCTAAATTTGTAAAAAACCTAAATTAGTAAATTCAACATTAACATTATACCAACACTACATTTCTTGCCATGGTAAGTGAGTCACAGCAACTTGTTACCTTTACAAAGTTTTCATACAGTGGATTATCGTCAATAGGTCTGGCAACAATCAGTTTATTCATCGTATCAGAGAGGTTTAGTGGGCGTACTAGCAAATCATTCTTATAAGCGCAGCTCTAACTGGTCACCACTACAACCTGCAGTTTGATTGAAATAATATATATGGTATATGGAAATTAAATAATAGTGTTTTACATGATGAAATATATTGTCAAAAAAACTGTAAAAATTATTGAAAGCGTTAAAAAAAAAAATGAATATGGCCTTACTCCTGCGGATTTGTGGGAATACCTAAAAATTAAAATAAAAGAATTTTCAATTGGATATTGTTCGAGAAAAGCAAAGCAATGGAAATTAGTTCAAGAAAACTTAATGAACGAAATCACTGATTTGACAAACACTATTGATATTATGTATAGCGAGGAAGCAGGTAATAAGTTAAAAAATAAAAAAGATGAATTAGATGAAATTTACACTTTTGAAGCAAATGGAGCGCAAATTAGATCACGCATTGAATGGTTTGAAAAGGGTGAAGTTTTTTATTGGGTTAGAAAAAAGCAACTCAAAAAGAAAACACATTACTTCTGTTCTTAAACATAATGGAAAATATACTTCAGATGAGGATGAAATTCTTAATGAGCAAATGCTATTTTATAAATAATTATATAAAAATAAAAATATTTCAAAGGAATGCATCAATAAATATGTTGAAAAATCAGACATACCAAAATTGTCTAATGAAAGTAAAAATAAGTGTGAAGGCCTGCTAATGTATGACGAATGTAAAGATGCCATTTTCAAAATGAGGCTCAACAAAAGTCCGGGTTCAGATGGTCTTACTCTAGAATTTTACCGCACTTTCTGGCCTAATATTGGAAACATGGTATGTGATGCAATCAATTTTAGCAATGTTCATAATAACAAACTAAGCACTTCGCAACGTGGAGGTATAATTTTACCATTGTACAAAAAATGTGAACGTGAAAACCTTGAAAACTGGAGGCCAAACACTTTTCTAAACGTTGACTACAAGATCGCAGCCTATGTGCTTGCCTATAGAGTACAACCCGTAATTGATTCTATAGTCAACAATGACCAAAAAGGATATATTCATGGTTTGGAGGAGAAATTATAAGATTAATTGATGATTTATTAGAGTACACTGATAATAATAATAATATTGAGGGCGCCTTAATTTTTATTGATTTTCAAAATGCATTCGACTCAATAGATAGAATATTCATGTTAAAAGCAATATAATTCTTTGGTTTTGGAGTGGAGTTCTAGCATTGGGTTTGTACACCAATACAGAAAGCTTTACCGTTAATAATGGTTGGATGTCTCCAAATTTTGTCATGAATTCTGGGATCTGTCAGGGATGTCCACTTTCAGCATTATTGTTTATTCTTGTGGTAGAAATAATGGCATGTAACATTAGAAGCAATCCACTTTGCGAAGGTATCCGTCACTTCCGTCAATAAGTGAAGAAAAAAACCCCGTTAAAATTGCACAGTTAGCAGACGATACGGTAATCTTCGCAAAAGATAAACAGAGTATTAATCATTTTTCAATGAAATTGAGTGTTTTTGCAACGTTTCGGGTCTCAAACTAAATAAGGAAAACCAAAGGCATGTGGATTGGTCCTAATAAGAATAAATCCAACAGTACATGTGAAATCATTTTGTTAAAGAACCTGTTGAATTTCTTGGTATTTTTGTGGGCTACGATAAAGTTACTTGTATAAAAAGAAATTGGTATGATAAGGTAGCATGTTTAGAGCGCACCTTAAGATTATGGGAAAAAAAAAACTTTGCTACTACGACGATTTTAATGGTTTTCCATGATTATGACGTCATCTGATTTTATTTGTCAAAATATGTTGTTATCGCATAACTGATAAATCGTTATCGAATCGTTCTAGTGTAAAAACTTCCCTTATTTCTTTTATTTTCTATATGAACTATTGCATTTTAGCTTTTTTATCGTTATCGTTGAAGTATAAACAGGCCTTTAAGAATCCGGTATTAAAATAACACAACAACATGCACATAAACATGTGTTTCAGAAAGAGCTCCAGAAAGATAAAACTATCAGCTTATATAACCTAGCTGTATAACTCCAGAGCATTCAAGAGCATTCCATATTGCCTAAGTTCCCCATTGGTTACCTTACATCATAATTAACCAATTAGGCTTATATGCCTCTAAAGTACCCAAGATTCCAGAAACTTCCAAATATTACTCTTGGATTCTACATGGTGTCATGTGTTCCTATAATTACCAATGTGGTTTACAGTTTCTGTAATCATTTAAATGTTATTCTAGAATGTTCTTTGTATTAAATATGTTAAAGTAAAGCAAGGAATGGTAATTTATTACAAACAGTAACATTTTACTGCAGAGGTAGCTCAATATAAAGAACAAACAAATAAATTTATTCAAGAAGCAATGACTTCTGCTTTTATTTTACATACCATCCTCAGAACTTTACTATAATTGCATATATAATATTCTTTAAGGAGAATTTCATGAATTTTTATGTAGGCTGTGATGTTGATGGGCCTTCATCCGATAATGTGATTGGCGAGCCATATGTTCAGGATAAAGAAGGTGGACAAGATGATGTCAAAAATAATCAGTGTGATGTGGCAGGCCAGTCTGACGGTCAGGAGCCCAAAGTTGGAAAAGATGTGGCCGATGTCAGAAATCGTCAGTATGGTGTGAGAGGTGAGTCCGGTGGTCATGATCGAGAATGTGAACAAGATGTCGCCTATGTCAAAAATGATCAGTCTGATTTCAGAGGCGAGTCTGATGGTCAGTATCGAGAAAGTGGACAAGATGTGGCTGATGTAAAAGATCAGTATAATGTGAGAGGCGAGTCTAATTGTCAGGATCAAGAAGGTGGACAAGATGTGGCCGATGTCAAAAATGATCAGTCTGTTAAAGGTGTGTCTGATGGTCAGGATCAAGAAGGTGGACATGATGTGGCCGATGTCAGAAATGATCAGCCTAATGTGAGAGGCACGTCTAATGGGCAGGATCAAAAAGGCAGACAAGATGTGGCCGATGTCAAAAACGATCAGTCTGATGCGAGAGGTGAGCCTGAGGGTCAGGATCAAGAAAGTGGACATGATGTGGCCAATGTCAAAAATGATCAGTCTGATGTGAGTGGCGAGTTTCATGGTGAGCATCGAGAAGGTAGACAAGATGTAGACGATGTCAAAAACAATCAGTCTGATGTGCAAGGCAGGCTTCATTGGCAGGACCTAGAAGATGGACAAAATGTAGAAGGCAATATTGTTGAAAATGACCAGTCTGATGTGGGAGGCAAGTCTTTTTTTGGTCTTACCATGAAGGTATTATTGAGGAAATCACTCGGCAACAGATCCCTTTGACGCGACAAACCTATGTGTTCCCGCCTTTGGATCGCGCGCGGGCGTATTACCCTATAATTCACATTTTTTCGTTAGCAACAACATGGCAACGACATGCATTTATACGCGTCCGGCAGAGCACTTGTGCAATAAAGCGTTTGATTTTAACCCATTAAATATCTTTATAATGAACAATGTTCCCCTGATTAGATTTTTTTGGACTTTTAGTATGTTATTACTTGTATATTTCAGGAACAGATTCCGTAAAAGATTTATGTTAAAATTACTTCTGTGTTCATTATAATTCTGTCTAAAGATTGATTGGTTCGACTATAAAGCTAAGTCAGCGTAAAACTGAAAAATACTCAGATTTTGGATTGATTTTTCGAATAGTTAACCCTCGTTAATCCTAAAATGACTTAGTTTATTATAATCCTCAATCATTTATAAATTAATATCTGTTAAAATTAGAATTAGCGAATTTTGGCCAATTTATGAAAATTGAAGTTGAAATATACTATACTTTTAAAGGTCATGTAAATGTTCCATTAAATTCGAAACTTTTTTTGGTGGAAAATATTAATATGTTTGATATTTTATGGGAGATAAATGTATCAGCTTCAAAATGGAAACGATTGCGCAGCCATAGTGATTGACTGTATGTAGTGCGCATCGAGAAAAGAAGATGCTCTCCATTTCGCCATGTTTAATTTTTTGGTAAACTATGCCTGCTGAAAATTTGATGGCGGGGAACGCATTGGACTTCAAAGGCATCTCGCAAACGTTCTTCACGTGCTGCGGCAGCTTCGATCAAAGTGGTTCATTTGCATAACGCTGCATGCGCGTAGCTTTTTCGAGTGATCTCCTTCTCAATTTAAAATACCTCCATGGTCTTACAATCTTTTTGTTTATCTATTTCTCTTCTAGCAATGAAATAGTCATCTCTTGGGATTCTATTTTTTTAACCATATTCTTAAAATATTTTTAGATTCTCTTCCACTGCTTCTCTGTCTTCTTCTGTCCACAATGGTGTGTGCCCTTTTCTATCTCCTCCTTTCAATTTTGCTTCTAATATGTTTTCTCCTGTTTCCAGTAAAATAATTAATAAAAAGAATACTAATGTGCTATTTACAGGCCCGCAAAGGGGGGTGAGGGGGAGGTGCGACAGGTGCATATGCAACCCCCAAATTACTACATTTCCCAGAGTAAAAAATTCAAAACTCACTCTCGCACATTCCAGAAATCCATTCACCAAACCTCCTTGACCAATCACAGCAGTTTTCAACTAGGACCGTCTCTAATTATTATTATTATAATAATGTGTTTAGTTTTAATCTTATTGAACCTGTCTATGTTTTAGATGAAATCTATAATTTCTAACAATAAGGCAACTGGTCTTGATGGTTTAGATACCAAATTATTAAAACTTGCAGCCCCAGTTATTTGTGATTCGCTAGCCTATATTTTCAATTTATCACTGACGAGTTCTATATTCCCTTTAGAATGGAAACGGGCAAAAATAACACCAATTTTCAAACATGGGGACCGAGCAGATACAAACAATTATAGGCCCATTTCTGTATTGCCATTAGTTAGCAAGATAATTGTAAGAGCTGTTTATGAACAACTTTATGATTATCTAATTATAAATAATTTGTTAAACAATGCTCAATCAGGTTTTCGTAAGTTTCATTCGACTACAACAACACTGATTGATGTTTCAGATTATATACTGAATAATTTTAATGAATTAAAATTATTTTAATTTTTCTTTTCAATATCTTTGTGAATTCTCTACCTACATTTCAAAATGATCTTCAATTAAATTTTAATTCTGTAACCCAATGGTTCAATAATAATAAATTAATTTTAAATACACAAAAAACAAAATTTATGATTTTTGGAACTTCGCATTTACTTCCTAGATTTTCGGATATTGTCCTTAAAATAACACAAATATTGAGAAGGTCATGTCTATGAAATATCTTCGTGTCATTTTTGATACTAACTTATCATGAGCCTTGCATATTGATAATATGTCTTCTAAAATTTCGAAAAGAATTGGTGTGATTCGTCGTGTCAAACAATACCTTCCATTTAAAACTATAAATATGTTGTCAAATACAATCGTAATGCCATTATTTGATTATTGTGATTACATTTGGTCCAACACAACCAATAATCACTTAAATGAACTTCAAATTCTTCAAAATAGGCTAGGAAGAATTCTTTTATCTGTTGACATTCATACTCCAATTCTTACAATTATGAATGAATTGGGATGGAAAAGATTGGTCGACAGATGGAATGAACATCTTCTATTATTAACTTTCAAATGTCTAAAAGAAAAGGCTCCTTCTTATTTGTGTAATAAATTTATCTTTAACAACAATAATCACCCTCAATGTACTAGGAATAAGTCTAATAACAACTTGATTGAACAAAAATGGAATCGGGTACAAGGCAAAAGGACATTTTTATATCGTGCAACTAAAGCATGGAACAGCCTTCCAAATGAAATAAAAACAATATTTAATGAACTTTCCCTACTGTCTTTTAAAAATCGTTTAAACAATATATAATTTTAACACTATTTACTCTCTTCTTGACAAAATATTTTCATTTTTCCTCTTCCCTTTTTGTTGTTAGTTTTAAGCTTTTTTTTTTCGATGCTGTAGTTTTATATTTATGTACAATTTGTTTTGTCTTTTACTCATTAGTTTTTGCTTTAAGTTTAATTTCTTTTCTTTTTTTTATTTTGGTTTCTCTTTTATTCGTTTTACTTGTGATCCACTTGTGATACCAGTGCTACGTCACTGAAAGTGTTATCACACAAAATACAGAAATAAATAAATAAATAAAATAATTTGTTGTACAAGCAACAACTTTTAATTGTATTTATATCAGCTTTTTGAGAAATTTTTCCTGCCGCTTGCCTGTCAATGATTAGCCGCGTTAAACTCCTATTCCTTCTTAATTTTTACTAAAATTAGAGCAGGCACGAATTTAGACCTTTACACCTTTTGGGAGGTTAAAAAAGGAAAAAAAGAAAGAAAAAGAAAAAAATGATAGCCCAGAATGCCTCAAATGTTATTTTCGGGCGTCTAGAACACAAAAATTTCGCGGGAGCATGCCCCCGGACCCCCTAGAGTATTGTTGTCTCGATCGGCCCAACTTTCGCCCCCACCCCTTTTTAGACATCTCTGGATCTGCCCCTGTTTATCAAACCCACCTGATAATAATAATGCATTTCTTATGCATAGGCGATACACACAGCATTCATCATTTTCGGCAGCCTTATGGTTAGGCCTAGGTTTGGGCCTAAAATGAAACACAATACTATACACTATAAATCGTAAAATTTGGAACAGCACTACCATTTTCTGATACTCTTCATTAAACTAGTGCACAAGGCAAGTTTCAGGACTTTTTATTTAATGTACATTTTTGGTAAATTGGGGTTTTAAAATATCTTAAAATGTATTACAATGTACTTGGGATTTGCCTTATCATAGCGAAGAAAAAAAATCACTACGTTCATCACATTGATCGGTACCTTTCTGTTCATGGAAGAAATACTCGTCATTGATAAGTTTCTTTTTACAAACTCGATCGTGTTTACGACGCAAGATTCTAGCGCATGCGTAGAGACAGCAAGGCAAGAGAAAGGGAGGGGATTGGGAGGCGGTGTCCCCTTCCTAGTGAAAAAAAAACGCTTATACAGGGCATTTTGACTCAAGGATGGGCTTTTTTTAAATATCTCAAATGTTTATGTAGACCTATTCAATTCAGGAATCTCTTCAACCTTCCCCGATGGGTGGTGGGGGCGGGAGGGTGGTTAACATTCATGGCCGCCGGGGGAGGGGTAAGTCTGTGGCGTAGCGTCGCCACTGAATACCACTGTAGTGAGTCCATGTTCTCTAAGAATGCTATCCTGTTTTTCTCAAGACCCCTATCAATTATGATGACGAACAAATGTGTAGGCAATGGCGTAACAACGGGTCCTTGGGAACGAGGAAAATTTGGGCTCACTTGCATATCAGTAATGAATTTCAATTTTAATTTCAATTTATTCAAATATGAATTTAGGTACTATTGTTTTAAAATTGGTTGTAGCAGTGAAAAGATTAACAAACCACAACAAAAAACTATGGTCTCAAAAATAATGGTAGGTCTACGACTTCTGGATCACCTTTTCTTCAGGTCTTTTTATGAAAATATAAAGCCTGTTAGCGAAATTGATTGATTTTTTTAATTGTCACTTCGATACTATGAATTATGCTGCTCTGAAACATGATAATGCTATTCTGAATAAAATTGTCATCATTCTTTATGGTCCAATTGATAATATTGTAGTCTTTTCATCCAAATATTATTAAGTACTGTAGGTCTATACTGTACAATGATTTTGAATTTTTATGTATAATGTCTTTACATGTTTTTAATAATAGGCCTAATATGATGGATTTTATTTTTTATTTATTTATTCATGTATTAAAATTGTTATGTATAATGTCTTTACATGTTTTTAACAATAGGCTTACTATGATGGTTAATCATGTATTTGATTCTTTACCCACTGTTTCCCTTCATCAAACACACTATTTTAAAAAGTCCAGGGCTCTCAAAAAAGTTAAAACTCTCATTTTATTGTCATTTATTTGTCTTATATATCATGAATGTCTGAATGCATATGAAATAAATGGCGCCGTTTGGGCCTGAAAGACATAATCTGTTGTAAGTGGTACACTAGTAGTAATAAATAATTTACCTTTTAATGAATTTCTAATATTTCAAAATAGTTTTTTTTTCTAATAATTTACATTTGTTCACAATATACTTTATTTTTATCTTTTTTTGAGTAGCATTTGCGATCTTGTTAGCTGAAATATATTGACGTAAAGTAGAAAGAGCTAAGACAAGACCACTGCATTGTTTACTCATTTTTATTACTTACATTACCTTTATAATTTAATGTTTTCAAGGTTATGAAGGTAAGTATACTATTTAAATATGATTTTGTTAATTGTAATAATAATAATAGTAATCATAATAATGATAATGATAATAATCATAACAAGAGCACTCATAGTATAGAGCATATATCTGCCCACCGAAAATCTCTTGATTATACTTTCACAAAACTTGCATTCACATCATTTTATTAGCTTTTGAAATATCTGGTTTGGGAGGTTTTCCTTTGAATGGTCATAATATCCACACCCTAATCCGGGTCGTCACTAAAATTTAATCCCCTCATCCTTGTGTCATACCTAACACTTCCTGTAACTTTCATTTCGGTTTGTGCAGCCGTTTTTGAGATTTGGACACATGAAAGGCACAACCTTAGAAATTTATTTGATTCTCAAGTTCACACCTGAATATGAGTCGTCATCATAATTTCTTCCTTTTAACTGGTTAAACTTTCACAAAAATTCCATTCATATCAGTTGATTAGTTTTTGAAATATTGTTTCTAGGACGTTTGGTCTTTAATCCCTTTAAATGGTCCTCGCATCCACTCCCTATTCTGGACCGTCACCAACATTTAATCATTTCTTCATTTTGTTATACCTAACACTCCGTTATTTTTTTATTATGTCTGTGCAACTTTTTTTGAGATATTTCGAACAAAAAAAAAAACAAAGCCCACACACACGAAAACACCAAAACATGACACACACACACACACACACACACACATACACCCCCCCCGCCCCACACCCAAAAACACTTACACGACTGAAAACATAATAAAATTTCCTGGCGGAGATGATTATGATCAAATAATAATAATGATAATAATACTAATGATGATACTAAATGTACTCGCGTATAAGGCGAACCAAGTATAAGACGACTTCTGAGTTTGAGAAGATATTTAGACGATTGTTGTACTGTATTTACTGTAATTCAAGAGTTACCCAGTTTAATTTACCAATTAATAACTAAGAAACATTTAGTTTTAATTTGAATTAAAGCTCGCTTTAATTGTATAGTAGGTTAATAATAAGAATAATAGTATCTGTAGTAAAAATAATGTGATAAGGTAATGATAATGTAATAAATAAATAATGAAAATGCAAATAATATTAAAAAATGATTTTTATTTTTAACAGTATTCAATTGTGTTTGATAGGATGTGAGGTTGACAAGCCTTCAACCATTGGTTGGAGAGGTGAATTTGATTATCAGAGTGGACAAGAAGCAGTTGTAGATCTGTCCGCAATGAGGAATAATTGGTCTAATGGTCAGTATCAAGATGACGGACAATCAGTTGTAAATGCGGCCGATGTTGTCCAAAATAATCAGTCTGCTATGAAGAATAACCGGTCTGATGATCAGTATCAAGATGATGGAGAAGCAGTTGTAGATGAGGCTGACGTCATCGAAAATGATCAGTCTGTCAGGATGGATGATCAGTCTAATACTCAGTATCAAGATGATGGAGAAGCAGTTGTAGATGAGGCTGACGTCATCGAAAATGATCAGTCTGTCAGGATGGATGATCTGTCTGATGCTCAGTATCGAGGTGATGGACAAGCAGTTGTAGATTGGGCCAACGTCGTGAAGAATGATCAGTCTGTCATGAGGGATAACCGGTCTGATACTCAGTATCAAGATGATGGACAAGCATTTGTAGATGAGGCTGACGTCATCGAAAATGATCAGTCTGTCAGGATGGATGATCAGTCTGATGCTCAGTATCGAGGTGATGGACAAGCAGTTGTAGATGGGACAGACGCCGTCAAAAGTGATCAATATATCATGAGGGATAACCAGTCTGATACTCAGTATCGAGATGATGGACAAGCAGTTGTAGATGAGGCTGACGTCATCGAAAATGATCAGTCTATCATGATGGATGATCAGTCTGATGCTCAGTATCGAGGTGATGGACAAGCAGTTGTAGATGGGACAGACGCCGTCAAAAATTATCAGTCTGTAATGAGGGAGGACCGGTTTGATGCTCAGTATCGAGATGATGGACAAGCAGTTATAGATGCAGCTGACACCGTTCGAAATGATCAGTCTGTCATGAGGGATAATCAGTCTGATGCGCAGTATCGAGATGATGGACAAGCAGTTGTAGATGAGGCCGACGTCGTCAAAAATGATCAGTCTGTCATGAAGAATAAGCGGTCTGATTCTCAGTATTGGGATGATGGACAAGCACTTGTAGATGCGGCCGATGCCGTAGAAAATTACCAGGCTGCCACGATGGATGATCAGTCTGATGGTCAGCAGGATCAAGAAGATAGAGAAGCAATTGTCGTAGATGTGGCTGACATAAAAGAAGATCAGCATGCCGGAAAAGGTGGGTCTGATTATCAGGAATAAGAGGACAATCATATTACAGGTCTCCCTCTAATATAAGACCCCTTCAAATAAAGACCATCCCCTTTGTATGTATGTATGTATGTATGTATGTATGTATGTATGTATGTATGGGTGTATGTGTGTATGTATGTATGTATGTATGTATGTATGTATGTATGTATGTATGTATATATGTATGTATGTATGTATGTATGTATGTATGTATGTATGTATGTATGTATGTATGTATGTATGTATGTATGTATGTATGTATGTATGTATGTATGTATGTATGTAGAGAATACAAGGATTGTGTGAGTATATGAATTCTAAGGCATGTGAAAATGCAAATGAGTTAATTGTTTTTAAGTAAGTGTTTGTTGTTGTGCCTGCATTTAGACAATAGCTCGGTTCTTTTGTTTAGTATTGACTGAATATATTATGTGAAGTTTTTCGGTTATGCATAGGTTGCAGCGTTTTGTTTTTGGGGAGTAAGCCGATGCTCTGTCGATAATAGACTATTTGATATTGTAGGGTGTGTTGCTGTCTTTTAATTTCCATACGTATTTGGAGAGTACAGTGCTGTTTCTGTGTTTGGGGGTGTTAAAAGTGTATTTGTGGTTTGTGTATCGGGTTTTGAACGGT